GCTCTAACCACCTTGCCCAGAAATGCAACTGCTCTATCTCCATGTAGATATTTTAAATGTACGATTTTTCTCTCAGAGCTTCTGTGATCACTGAATGATACTGTAAATTCAGAAATTATTGCGTGCATTTATTATTGCGATTTTCCAAATAAGGACAAAAATGCGAGTTTGATTAATGCGATTTCGAAAACAACTGCATACAGGTCTACGTTTCAGTAATCAAAATGCGAGTTCTTATTATTGCGATACTCACCGAGTCGCATTATTCGCATTAATAAAAACCTCGCAATAATTTCTGAATTTACAGTATAAAAAAAAACTGTTTTCATACTGAAACTTTACATACCCGACTATCCCTACTACCCCTATACGATCAGGTCGATCTGGTCTGGTCAAGATCGGTTTGAGATCTAGTAAAGTTGATTTAGTCTATCAAGTCGAGTAAAGATTGAGTAGAGATCGTGAATTGGTGGGGATAATTGAATAGATATCCAATAAGTGGTCGGGATGAAGTAGTGAAAGAGTCGTTAAGAAGTCGTGCATGGTCGAGTTAGAGTCGTGTACGGTCAGACAGCGGTTGAGTAGCAGTCGTTAACAGGCCCGATCAAAAATGTAGGTTACGCTTGGTCGTAGAAATTTGGCCAATCGGGTTCATCGAGTCGATCTGATCGGTATTTGAACCTAGCTTAATGACTGCTTTCCGACTCTCGACAAAGTCGTGAAATATATCTTTATGATATTTTTCAGTTCTCGCATCTTTTTATCATTTAGCATTGAATAAAAACCTGCAGGTCTTGTTAATAATACCAAAATATCTGACTATTGGGACAACTGATTCAAAAGGTAATATTTCATTTTGAACCCCGATTATGCTTCAACAGATGTAGTTTAAAATGAATTAATTCCCTAATTTTAGTAAACATTATTTGTGCTCATGGGGATTTTCAATACTGTCACATGGATTTTAACTTAACGAAAAATACAATCACCCATTGTCTACTAAATATGGGACAGGTAAGTTTTTTTTCTAATCACTAGTGTAATGTTTAAAGTAAATGAGATATATTGACGAAAGAATGCCTTTATATAGAAGGTTAATGTATCTGAATAGGACTATAATACAGCTTTGTTTTATAGTCAAAGACGTATCCTAGAATGGACCCTTGATAGTCCTAAAATCTATCATAATATATAGCTTACGCTACTTTCGAAAACGAGGTACCTAAGTATTACTTATTCGAATTAAATATCTACATTACCCTAAAACTTGTGTCCAGTATTTATATTGTGTACATTTCACATGCATATATTTGTATTTAGAAATAATCAAGTATTTCAAAATATTTTATTGTATATTTTATTCTTAATGAATTGCTTGGTTATAAAATTATTCAAACAAAAAAATATCAAATCGAAAGTGGAAAGTAAATATTTCCAATGCAAATTGGATTTTTTTTAAATACAACGTTAATAAAAAATAATGTACATGTATGTCATCCAATCAAAGATAAATATTTTTCTTAAGTGTATGGCTGGTTGCACCCCATCTTGTTCCTATAATTAATTTCATACAATGTATCCCTTACATGCTTTTTGTTTGTAAATTTTGGAAAATATGCTTATGCAAAGTTAATTTCCTGCCAAAAATTAATCCTAAAATTTAATTTCTTTAACTGCTAATAGAATTTCCAATAAATGATTGTCAAGTTTCTAAGTTGTATTTACATTTTACACAAGTAAATATCATAGCAACAGTTTTTACATGGAGAAATTTAAAAACCCCATGCATGAACCTGATTTTTATATAGCATGTTATCTGCAAATTGTATATTTTACAATTTTGTAGACAAATTGATAAACATTGACCATAATATTAAATAAAGTGGACTTTGTTCAACTCTACACGATACACGCAATGGTCGATGAAGTTATTGTACCATTTAATCAATATTTTTACTAACTTTGAGACATTTACCCGTTATTTCGCCCAACGAGCATTCGCCAACATTACTTTGAGAAGCTGCTTTTTCCATTTCTTTCAACAAATGGTCCTCAGATACTATATTAAATTCATATGAAACGAGTTTATTGTAATTTTAATGTTATCGAAATTAGTGAACCAATGCATCCATATATAACTAAGTCCTGTATGCACGTTTTTTTATAATTATTACGAACTTTTATTAACCAGTTTATTGCATTATATATGAAACTTCCCCTTTATCAATAAAGGCAAACAAGTCCATAACAGAATAGCAGGGCATTTATACAGTGCCTCGTGCCATTACAGGCATCCTCGACCATTATAACAGACCTTGGACATATAACAGAGTCATTATGAAAACACCCCTCAATTAATATTAAAATGACGTATTATCGACTAATAATATTTCATTCAGTGATTGTTGATCGCAAGCTAATTAACTTTCGAGTTTGTTGCCGAAGTTTACCGGATCGTGACATTGATAAACAATCAACACAGAGCAAAGGAGCCCGTGACAAATAAGGGTATTAATAGAGCCATATGATTTTTTTTTTTTATATTTTCAATACGTTTCCATTTGTTAATTAAACTTTACCGTAACAGTTGTTAAATGATTTGTTGTACTAAATTTGTTCTTTAAAAATCAGTTATTACTATTTTACCTTTCAGTGCACGTTTGTTTTCATTCTTTTTTCACGGGTTTTCCTCGCACTTGCGCTGTGCGGTTGCCTAAGTTCTAACGAGAGGTTAAACGAGAAAATATCAGCGACTTAGTTTACAGGAAAACAATAATTCAATAGCTGTGCATTTATGAAGATTTTGATAATATAAAGGATTTTCTTTTACATCTTATACGTTCAGCTATTTCATATCCAATCTTTTATGGTAATATTCTTTACAAAGCACAAAAATGTCGGCATTCACCTCAAAAGCTAACCAAACCTTTAAACAGACTTATTCAGGAGGGATATAGTTAGATACTGTTGTCAGGTCATTAAAGATGGCATATTTTGGTATTAATATTGATTCACTCATAGGGTCTTTGCATCGGAAATAAACACATTTATTCTCAAACCAGTTTGTTGGTATGATACGTATGATACGGGTTATGTTCTTCTGATATATTTTATGATGGTATGATTCTAAACCCCTAACCGGAGGGATTGTGCTTGATTTTCATATGATGAAGACATAATCTTTCAATCAGTTTAATTAAGGTCTGGAGCTGGCATGTCAGTAACTGGTAGTAGTTCTTTGTTAATTTATGTATCATTGTCATTTTGCTAAGTTTCTTTTGTTACTTATTCTGACATCGGACTCGGACTTCTTTCAAACTGATTTTTACTGTGCATATTGCTTTGTGTTTGTTTAATCTACATAGAGGTATAGGGGGAGGGTTGAGATCTCACAAAACATGTTTATCCCCGCCGCATTTTTGCGCCTGTCTGAAGTCAGGAGCCTCTGGCATTTGTTAGTCTTGTATGTTTTTAATTTTACTTCATTTGTATGTTTTTTATTTTAGTATGACGTCCATTTTCACTGAACTAGTACACATTTTCTTGCTGTGTTGAAGACCCTTGGGTGGCCTTCGGCTGTTTTTTGCTCTTTGGTCGGGTTGTTGTCTCTTTGACACATTCCCCATTTCCATTCTCAATTTTATTTATCATGTACACTTTTTTAGAGTTAAACTTATCCATTCAAGAAAATAAAACATATTCAATTTTTTTTTAAACTTGAAGTTTAATATGACTTAAAATCAAAAGGCTAACTATGTTTACACCAGAACTGCGTGTATTGTTTAACAGACTTCACTGTCAAAGATATCAACATTTTTTTTAAATTTCGGCTAAATTTAGAAAAATACTCTGTTTACATAGTCCAAAATAAAGATCCTCAACTTTCACAATTCAGCGCTATCACAATACACCTCACAATAATCAATGCAAAAAATGCTTTATTTATTCATCAATATGCCATTTGCAACATAAACGTATATTTTCTCCTGATATCTAGCTCAGTTAAATTTTATTATTTTTTTTTAATTCTTGGTTCATCTACAAGATGTGTCCATTTTTCAGGAGGGAGAAGGAACAAAAAATAGATTTGTGTTTGAAAAAAAAACCAAAATGTTTTACTAGCGTTTATATCTGAATAAGTAAGGGGGAAAATATGTACTGAAAATAACTATATTGGTATATCAAGTATTTATCCTCGCTATAAAACAGAAAACAAAATACAACTTTCTATTGTCTGACGTTCGTGCGACAATGTTGAGCGTAATCCAAAATGTTTATAGTCATATGCAAATTTAAACTAAAAAATGAATATGGTTTATATACTTGAATGGCTACAATAAAAAACAAGTGTACGTGAACTTTCTTAAGAAAATCCTTTAAATTATCAAAATATTTAAATTATTGTCTTCCCGTGCACCAATTCGCCGAGTTTTTCTCGTATGCAGCGACCTTAACCACGAGACCTCTAGTTAAAACTTCGGCCAACGCACAGCGCAAGTGCGAGGGAGAAAACCGTGATGAAAGAATGTAAATTAACGTGTACTGGAAGATAAGAAGTAATATCTGATTCTTAAAGAATAAATCCGATACAACAAATCATTTAACAACTGTTAGGGAAAAGTTTAATTAACAAATGGGAACGCATCGAAAAAATAAAACAAATATCATGGCTCAATCAGTTCACGTGTTTGTCACGAGCTCCACGTGCTCTGACAAATGTCAGGATCCGGTAAACTACAGCAACAAACTCAAAAGTGAATAAGCTTGCGATCAACAATCACTGAATGAAATATTATTTGTCGATAATTCGTTATAGATTTGTACTAAATATAAAAAAAAACGTACATAAAGGACTTAGTTAATTATGTTGCATGCATTGGCTCACTAATTTCGATAACATTAAAATTACAATAAAAATCGTTTCATATAACTTTAAACTTTAAGGCATTCCTCAGATTTGAAATTGGAGAGAGTATATTTTTAGATTATGACGTGGTTTAAAATTATCGCCTCTTACATGATATTACAAGATGGGTCAGGTAAGCTTGCTTCTTCATTGTGTCATCAAATGAAAAATATCTTTAAAACTTTTACGCATATTTTTGAATAATAACAAATAATATGAAATATAACTTCAAACATCCAATCGGATTTTGTAATTCACGGTATTATATTGTTTTAAATGATACAAATAACACATTATCATTGATATTCTATACTACTGTATGTGTCAACTATAAATAGCTATAACCTTATAATTATCTAAATATATATATTATGAAACCATACCGTAAACTTTTCAACAGATCTAAATTTTAATTCAATAATACAGTGATTAAACTGTAAAAATTTACTTTAATCTTAATATTAGATGATGATCCCAGCTGCATGTAAATAATCAGGGTTATTCCGTATAAACATTAAACCTTATACTACGCTAGGCATACAGATTACTGATAAAACACTATCAATATTTAAACCACGATTTTCAATGTACAGTTTTCTTCCATGTCACGAATAAAATAAAACATAAGATATATTTTCAATGTGTTTATTTTTGTTATTTGATAACACTCTTATTGTTTTTATTTTACACTTTTATATTTACAATTCTTCAAGGTAATAACTAGAAAATGAATTGTCTAAGCATATCCAACTATGTATTAAATATGAATACTTTTTTATGTTTGATGTAAAACAATATGATAAAAAAGTTATAAAGATGGAGTGCTGTTCCTTTGATTTCGGGTTTTATTTAGTGCAAATAAGGCTATGTGTCATGACTGTATACACCCTTCATCATAAAGAGATGAGTTATGATTATCAATGAGACAACTATCCACCCGAGTCCGAATGACTTGGATTTAATCTGAAAAAATAAAGAAGAGCGACGAAATCCCATTTTACAGATAGTAGACTGAAAAGAGAATTTAGTTGATTAATAATACTGAAGAATATTAGGGACATTGTGAAAATACATTCGTCATTAAACGTTTTAAAATGAAGAAATTTCGGAGTTACAAAACTCGAAATTTAGAGGATTTGAATAGACGAGATTTCAAAAGTAAAATTTTGAATTAAAATAAAAATTTCAAGATATTAAAAGCAAATCTGTTGTCTAATAGCCAAGTTTTAAGATTTTAGATATTGAAATTTCGACTATGAAAAAAAAATCAAATACGCTTCCGCATAATGGTTTTATTTCGCGAGGATGGGTGTTTCATTACTGGCAAATTCTAAATGATCTCTATACTATTGATATTTATTCTCTTACATGTCAGATTTCACTTTTTAAAACGTATAGTCTGGAAATAAAAAGTAATTCGAATCGGATATATAGTTTTTTGGCCGAAATATACCAATTAATGTAAAAGTATTTTTCAAATCCACATAAGGATCTTAATTCTTGTATAATGTTATTAAAAATATTTAAGAAGTTTTTTTTAATCTTCTATTCTCATGATTCTGAAAGGAGGAGATGTACACTTATTGTCTAAGAATCGGTAATTACCTGCGACTGAAATAATGAAGAGGTAGATCTTTATCACCAATATTTCTTAACAGACTGATATCCAGTTGAAATTAAACAAAATAAATGGAATTATTTAATAGAAGGTAAAAATAATATATAAATGTATACACTTAAATTGTTGATAAGTGAAACAGATTTTATAGCCTCTAAAATCTAAATGTAGGTCATAATTTAAGATTTTTTGCATCTTATATATACTCAAATTATAGTATGGGACTTCGAGATATTTGTAAACTTTCAAATTAGAGACACATTTTCACATAAAAGTAGAATATGGTAGGTACAAATACATTTTGGATCTTTAATATGCATAAGCATAATCCACCGAAAAGACTCCACAGATTTTTTATACGTTTTCAAGACAAAACAGTCAAATTAAACACGCCTCAACGCAAAAGGTGAATTCCGCTTCATGTTTTCGATAAGATTATTGCCATTTTTTATGATTTCTTCAAAAAAAACAACTAGGTCAGGGGTTAGAGATACAAATAAATGATTTGAGAAAATCAATCTTTTATCTTTCTGTGGATTTTTTTCGGTGAAATTTAATCTTATGTATATCAAAGATTCAAATGTATTGACACCTGGCATAATCTACTGTTTAGTAAATATTTGTCTTTAATGTAAAAAAAGGCAACAGTAGTATACCGGTGTTCAAAAGTCATAAATCGATAGTGGGAAAATGAATTCGGGTTACAAACTAAAACCGAGGGAAACACATCAACTATAAGGGGAAAACAAAGGAACAACAGGAACACTGAAATGCAACAAAAACAAACGCCAACATACATAGAAACGAACTATTTGATAACAACTGCCATATTCCTGACTTGGTACAGGAAATTTTAAAAAAAAATAATGGGTTGAACCTGGTTTAATGGCTAGCCAAACCTCCCGCTTTATGACAATGTTAAAAAATATCGCTAAAATGACAACACTACATGACAGAAATACACCACAAACACACGCAAAAACATTCATCACAGAGAAACGCACAAATATATAATATAAAAGTCGACACAACATGCAAACCGTAGAACAACAACGAACATATTCCATCAACGACAAACACCACAGGATATCACAAACAATGACACGCTTACGTAACTAACATGAAATCTCGAACTTTATACAATTATTAGTCCCCTACTGACGAAGTCGAAGGGGACTTTAGGTTTGCACTCCGTCCGTCCGTCTGTCTGTCTGTCTGTCTGTCCGTCAGTCCGGCAAATCAGTTTTCCACACATATTGATTTGATATTTGGTATATTGTTTAATCATGACAAGTTACAGATCAAGTTCGTGTTTTGTTCCGGTCTGATAATTTTGTGCAGAGGTATGGTTTTTGGCCTTAGAAAATTCACTTAAATAATCAGTTTTCCAGTAGTCTGGAATATGACAATGATGGTATTGAAAGGCAATGTTATAATTATTTGAACAACAAACGCTAAGACATAAAACATTATTCAACCGAAACCATAACAAAAACTTCAAAAATAAATACATGAATGTTGGATGTACAAAATACCGAGACACGTCGTATAGCAATGCAAATTCACACTCGGTATAACAGTCATATTCGGAAATAGGTCACGTTCCGTACTTATCAGACAGACGACATAGATGTTAAACCACAATCTAAGACGTGGTAAAAATGTCATTAGTTAGTTTAGACACAGACACATCGTATAGATCAACCAATTCGTGGTGGTGTCCATGAAATTTACGGAGTGTCATTTTTAATATTTCCTCCTCATAACTCTGTTGGAGCAGTATAAAAGTTTTCAAACATTTCAAAGCTCCATACTATAATTTGAGTACAAACACGTATATTAGATTTAAAACAAATCCAAAATCATCCCTCTACATTTAACTTTTAAAGGCCACAGAAGCTGATGTAAACAATTCAAATATACAATCTTGCCAATTTTTACCTCCGCTAATAAAAAGTTCCATTTTTTGTGTGTTTAATTTTAACTGAATATCAGATATAATTTTTTATGCATAACTTTAAAAAAAATGTTTTGTGTGTGTTATCTAGGGAAATTGGTCTTCAACCTCTCAAAACGTTTAGTCTGCCCTTCCAAGAAATATTTGAATAGATTTTTTTAATTTTGAAAATTAACCCTGATAACCAATCAAGCAATAGCTTTTTTAAGTTGACAAAAGGTATCAAAGTATATCTAATGATGATTTATAGTTTGTATATACATTTGTCTTTTGAATACAACTGTCAAATAAGAATCGTAATGATGCCATGGTGATAAATTTGTCGGTTTACAAGAGCTAAATTGATAGCGCCTCATCCCGAAAATGGCTTCCATAAAATTAGTTGGCATTATGGGAAAAAAATTTTGACGAAGAAAAATCTGACTTTGTTATGGATGCTTACCGACTCCCGAAAAAAGTCGTGAATGGGATATTCTTAACTTTGATAGTCATTATATTTTGTTCTTTCAACTGTAAGAAAATCATCATGTTATAGAGAGAACAAAAATCAATGGAGAATTAGTTGTTTTGTGTGAAAAATGTCTGTTATTTTTTATATTTTTCAATAATTTCTTATGTTATTTGAGTTAATGTGTTTACATTGTTTTGTGTGGATTTTTATAGCTTACATTTATTCAGTTCATTACTAGTGTTTATTTGTTTGAAAAATAACTTAGAGTGGAACTTTAGCATTTAATATATACCTGCATGTCATTGTTAATAATACCTAAATATTTGGCTATTGGGGAAAACTGATTCTAAATGTCATATTTATTTCAGATATATCTCCTTTTGAACCCCTTTTATGCTTCAACAGAGGCAGTTTAAAATGAAGTATTTTCCCTAATTTCAGTAAAAATCATTTGTGCTCTTGGGGATTTCAAATACTGTCACATGGGTTTTAACTAAACGCAAAATACAATCATTCGTTGTCTTCTAAATATGGGACAGGTAAGTCTTTTTCATAATCATTAGTGTAATTATCAAAGTAAATGAGATATATTGACGAAAGAATGCCTTAAATAGAAAGGTAATATATCTGAGTAGGACTATAATACAGCTTTGTTTTACAGTCAAAGACGTATCCTAGAATGAACCCATGATAATCCTAAAATCTATCATAATATATATCTTACGATACTTTCGAAAAAAGAGGTCCCTAAGTATTACTATCTGCATTACCCTTAAACTCGTGTTCAGTATTTATATTGTGTACATTTTTACATGTATATATTTGTATTTAAAAATAATCAAGTAATTTGAAGTATTGTTTAATAATTTGTTTGGTTATGAAATTATTCAAACAAACAAAATTCAAATCGAGAGTGAAAAGGGAGGGGTCTTAATGATTCCAATTCATTTGTTTTTGAATACAACGTTAATTAATAATTAATTGTACATGTATGTCATTTGAAAAAAAAATAGATTAAAGCCGAAAAAAAAGTTAGTCTAACGAAAAACCCATTCCAATATGTTTATTGTTATAAAAACTGAGTATTATTTCATTAAACTGATGAAAGTATGACCCCAAGATGCATGTTGGATGAAAAAATAAAAAAGTAAAATATTAATTACACAGTTTAAGGCATCACAATGTTAAGAATCTGTTGATACAAATTTAGAAAGTAAGAATTTTTTAAGAAAACTTTTACTACTATAATATTACTATTTTGTAACGAAGGGTATTAAGAATGTTAAGAATTTGTAACGAAGGGTACATGTATTAAGAATATTAAGAATGTTTAAAGAAGACTTTAAAATGTAAAGAAATTGTAACGAAGGCTATGATAATGTCAAGAATAATATGTTGAAACAAAGTCAGATATTATCCATACTTTTCACAATGTTAAGACAAAATGATACAATTTGAGACAATAATTTGACATTTCAAAATTTGGCATCTTTGTAGTGAATTTTACTAGTAATCATAGAGAGTTTATTTCTATAGATTATGAATTGTTACCTTTTTTCTCTGCTCATTTACATCAATATATTTTATTTGCATGTTAAGCCCGTATGGGTCGAGCAGTACATAAAACAAACAAAAATTAGTAAACACAGCATAGTTACACAATCCATAATTACAGCATGAGAAATAAAACAAGAACATAGTATTCTCGATGGACAAAAACCTCTTTTTGACAACTCTAAAGATTGCTTTTTTTAAAGTCACAGTTTGCTGACAAAAGTTCTTTAGTATTCAAATTTGTTATAATATGGAAAATGCTAGATGTTTTGTGTAACAGGGTTTTATACTGTGGTCCTAGAGAATATTTTGAACGATATTTCCCCATTTCAACTTCGGAGGAATGGTCATTTACTCTAAAATTAAAGATTACCTGTCGGGTTATTAAATGTGTACCTCCAAATATACTAGGACTGTATTTTGAACACTAGAAATATAATACAGACAGTATATGTATTGCATTTTCTCTCTCGATTCGAGGAGCATCTGTTTAGTACCAACTGTCCACTTTATAATATATTCATTACTTAAAGGGTATACATGCAAAACAGTTACAATGTGGTTTGAATTAATGAAAGGTATAAATAAACACAATGCAGTATATGTTTAATAACGAAAATTCCATAAACAATAGATACAACACACCATATTCCATTTTTAATTACAAATGTATGAGTTCCTTAAAGTCGTATGAAACTTCAAATTTAAAATAGGAGTTAAATATGACTTATATACTTGAATGGCTACGTTTTACTATAAAACAAGTGTACATGAACTTTCACGTAAAATAAATCCTTTATCATTTTAATCTTCATAAATATACTGAATTATTGTCTTCCCGCGCAATAATTAGCCGATATGTTCCCGTATGTAGTGACCTTAACTACGAGATCCTATCGTTAGAACTTCGATCACTGCACAGCGCAAGTGCGAGGGGAAAACCGTGATGAAAGAATGTAAACAAACGTGCACTAGAAGGTAAATAAGTAATAACTGATTCTTAAAGAACAAATGTTAATCAACACATCATTTAACAACTGTTAAGCAAAAGTTAAATTAACAAATGGGAACGCATGGAAAATTTTAAAAAAAATATCATGGCTCTATTAATCCACTTATTTGTCAAGTGCTCTGTGCTGATGTTTTATCGATGTCACGATGCGGAAAACGTCGGAAACAAACTCGAAAGTTAATTAGCTTCCGATCAACAATCATTGAATGAAATATTATTTGTCGATAATACGTTATAGATTCGTAATAAATATTTTTAGTTTAGTATATATGCATGCATTGGCTCAATAATTTCGATAACATTTAAATTACAAGAAACTCGTTTCATATATCTGTAAAATAATTCACTCAACTGTGTTTATATAAACCGTAAAAATGTACGATGCACGAACGCATTCTGCTTACCTGACAATTTGAAATTTCCTTTGTTATAACCAAGAAAAGTAGATAAAAATTATAACGTAGGTATAAGAAAAGGTATGATTTAATTTTTACACGCTTTCATTATTTTGCGGTGATATGAACAAGGTCTGTCGTAATTGTTCTCTCGGCGATGCATTGTCGTTTTTTTTTTTTGGAATCTGTAGACAAGGTTTCATTTCATAATTACTAAAAGGGGCAATAGCTGTCAAATTAATGTTCACCGATTTGACTCAAATTCTCATATTTGATTTATAACATACTGAAACGTATATATAAATTATAAAAAGTCTAAAATAAACAATTAAAGATGCATAGACTTGCTAATATGTATCAGCTTTTCGTGTTTAATTTAGTCTAGACGCCATCTAATTAACCATCGAGGTGACCTCCGAAGACTGCCGACGGTCATATAACCCGTTATAAACCTAAATATAAATATATGTAGATAGCGAACACGTGCAATTTGAATTTTCATATAATAAGTTTAAAAAAATTGTGAATCATTGTTTTTACCTGTATAAGAATGAGTATTTGTGGAACGAATTAGTCAAATGGTTTACCCTTGTTTCACTTTCAATGTTGACATTTTTTTCCTTTGAATAGCTGAACACGCCTAGTTTATGCGTAACCTATTTCTAGCTAAGGGGTTAAATTGAAGGTCACATAAATACGGATTCAATGAGGTCGAATTATTCATTTGCAAGTGAATAATTCATCAGCGATGTTTCTAAGCTTATTTTGACAAAAATGAAAAAAAAAAAATGGCGAATCATTATTTCACTATTTCACTTTCATTAATGATTACATAATGATATATACATGTCCGTTTTAATGGTGTAAAATAATGATAGGGTCACCGACTTAATGTTTAAGGTATACATCATTCAAACTGGAGTTCTGTGTCAAAAAATACCACAAAACGTCAAAATAAGCATAACGTCTTGCGTTGTAAGCCGTAAAACGTTGATTTTTGACGCTTTTCGCTACCAACTAGATAATAAATTGGTCAGTACACCAAAAACAAATCTTTGGATTTGAAATTGGAGACTTGATGTTTAAAAAAAATTAAGAACTTTTTTCGCCGATTTTATATGCTTTCTATACAAATATTCATCTATTTTGAATGAATTCAATCAGTAACATTTCAGACAATAAAAGACATAAATGCAATATTTTTTTCGATTTTCAGTTTAAATTCAACAAGCCAAAGTTATAATATGCAAAATTTTATATGCATGATATATACCATTTACTGGTCCTTGATCTTAAGTGACAGTAAAGAGGAAGGATAACTGTTCCCATGAATTTATATCTGCTGTAAGTAAAACACGGTGCTATTAGTAGTTATTCCGTGTTGTTAAAATATTTGAATGGCATGTTTTCGTAATAATTCATAACAATACAATTAGTGATTTTTTTAAAAGCTCCAATTTCTTATTTCAGGCTTGTTCAACCGGAAATATAGAGGCGAAAAAGAAAGGTAAAATCATGGTCTTTTTCAATGAAAAAATGCCAAAAGTTTTGTCTAAAAGTAAACACGCATACAGCATTACAAGGGAAAGTTAACACCAACACCATGTTTAGCCCGGATGTAAAATTGGCTACTCCACTTTCCTGTTCTTGGATCATTTGTTTGTTAACGGAAACGTGCTGAAACGACTTTGCATGATAATTTCAATCTATATCAAATTTTTGTCTCCGACTAGTATTGGTTTTATTTAACATACTTGTACACCTTTTTCGATATTTTTTTATGAAACATCTGGTAAATCAATTTGATGTTGGTCCCTTTAAAATTTGTATCCCAAGGGTGATTGGGGGTATACAAATATGGTCAAATTGGTTTCTTCCGACCGGCAGTAAAACCCTTGCCAAAGTGGGGACGTCCGTTTTGATAGTCAAGGACATATTATTCGCAGCCACGTCCGGTCAGAATGGGGACGTTTAATCCGATGACACTCATATAGAGATTGCCTCGCTCTCTGCACGATTAAGAACTTTTGCAATGACTCATTGAGGAGTTCCCATGTGACCAGTTGAAAAGCAAATTTTCTGATCCTATCCAACATATCATTGTTTTCTAGCGGCACTTTAAATTTCCTGTCCTTCGAATTCATTCCTGTCGTACTACATTGCAGACCCTACCTATTGTATTAGTTGTTTATATTTCTCGTCCTGAATATGCATGAAATAATTGCTACTCAACGTTAAGCAAGCTTAAATCACTTAATTCAAATTTTAGTCAACTGGACTCAAAAATCGTTTGTGTAATGATGTTAAATGTATTTCATATTTTTTATTTGATTAGATTATTCATTAAAAATGATTTTTTAAGTTAACGAACAAACTTTTCAATGCAAAGAAACTTTACATTGCAATGTTTAGTTTTATATGCATAGAACACATGTGTATTAATAATGCAAACACAACTAGAACAATGATTTTAATTTAAATAATCTCTGCAAAGCAAACATTTTTTTCTCCTGCAAATGCACAGTATTACATACAAGTTTTTTATTTTTATTTGAACAGATGCAAAATATGGATTTATTTCCCAGAGAACAAATGTTCCTGGAAACATACGATTGGATGATGACATGGCAGTTTACCAAGAAATTCCAGAGCGAAATGTTGAGCGTAAAGGTTTTTTGGCAAAACAGAAAAGAGACGGTATGAGTTATGTGCTTCTAAATTTAAGATGAAATTTTGTTTATGTTTTTTGTTTAAAGTCCTTAGCTCTTCGCTTTGATAAAAGTTTTATTTTTGATTTAGAAATGGGACTGCATGTTGTGGTAATTTGTTTAGCGTATTTACAAATAGATTCCTTAGTTTTATCTTTTAGCGAATAATTTCTACCTTTGTAATGTGTTTTGTTTAAATTCAATAATCTGACATGAAATACCAACATGTAACTTATTGCTGTAAAATGAAACTAATTTGTTTATTCTTATAACAACCGTTCTTGTATGCAATTTGAGCTTAGATATCCACTTTAACTTATAAATTTGTGAGGGATCGGCTACTCCTCGAGGTAGTGTGAATCAAACATGACAGAAATCAAGTGCAACGTTATCACGGGGGAGTCAACAATCATCGAGAAAAGACAGACAAAACCATGACTTCAGTTCAAAATTCACTTCAAATGAATGCTAAGATTGAACAGTATGAACCGAACAAAAAAATCAATTCGGGGGTTGTGTACTCAAGTTTGCTGAAAGAAATGATAAGCAGTCGCATTCGGTTTGAAAACTAAAATTTTATGGAAATTTGACTGTAAGCATTGATTATGGTTAACTAAACCAAAAAAACTTATTTGAATTGATGAGTGCAGTAATAAAAAAATTCATTCGTCTTGCAACTTCTCACTGTTTACTATATAATACTTTATACATGTGAAATCTAACAACTGTTTTCAATATGCAGACCAAATACTATTTAGTTTTTGGTATCGTTGGTATTTACAGAACTTAGTAGGAATAGCAGTAGAAAAAGCAATGCAACCTTACGATCTGCGATATATAGTGCACCGTTCTGTGATTCAAGTACTACAGTAACTTTAAAACCTAGTAAGTATATGATTTAATGTTTTGTACATGCATCACAGTTACAGAAGTTGGTATATTTTTTTAAGTGATAAGGTTTTTTGGGGTTTTGCCTTGTTTGTTTGTTTGTTTTTTTTTTGTTGTCTTTTTAAAATCTAATTGGTTTTTTTTTCGTATTTGGTGGAGAGTGGTGGGTGGTGGGTAATATTGAATGTTTTGTTTTTGGCTTCTGATGTGTGTATGTAAAAAGAATAAGAATCATTTTACAACCTTTTCTTTCGGGGTTCTTGTTGACCAATGTATAGTTTTTATGTAATGTTATATGGACTGTTGTTAGTCTATTTGTCGTCGACCATGGTGTGGTCTTTTCTGTCTGTATTGCCCAACTGGTGTCTACCAATTTAAACAGGATTTGACACGACGATTTCACTAGTTCCTGTTAACCCTTTCGCGACATTGAAATGCCTGTAGACAGTTGTTTGTCTTTTTTTTTTCTTTGGTCATATTTTTGGTCATCTCCGACTTAACATTTTTGATTCCCCCATAGTATCTTTTTCTTTTTGCTCACTTTTTTTTACCCCGTGGGTTGACTGGGATATACAAGTATTTTATTTAGCAATAAACCCTACGCTAAAGAAGAGGGACGTCCGTTCTATTGTGTGGGCTGTATAATTCCACAGACCCGTTCGGTCCCAATTGGGACGTTTATTTCGATGCCTCGTGTAAGGAGATTGTCACGCTCTCTTCAAGTTAAAGATTCATTGAAACAATTATGGTGTGGTCATAGGTGGATGTTTGTGAGGCAAAACTGCTACCGTTATCCCACATGCCATCATTTTACAGTGACAGTTGAAATATCGCATTTTCCATCCCTTTTAACCCATTATGTGGAACCTGCCTATTGTATTTTTATATGTTGTGAACAGTATTTTTGACTCAAATTGGTTATTTACACTTGAAAATAAAATTTGGTGGGAATATCGTCGGAATACAATTGTGAATCACAAACCTTTAACTATGAAAACTTTTTCTTGTCCAGTTCTTAGTAGACCAAACAGCAAGAAAGGCAGCGAAAAATCAAGGTCTACAACGTTTACTGAGCCTTTCTACCAGACCAGAGAGCTCCCTCGTCGACCAGGTATTTTAGCTAGGTTGCTTCTGTACATTTAAAAAAAAATACAGTAGGGTTTAAAATAATAAGGATAAAGCTGGAAGTGATTAACTGTTTCCTGGGAAATTCTACATTGCAGATATTTGTTTTTTTTTTTAAATATTAGTGCCTTTAATAATTTATGAATTGAAAGGGGCAAAATAAAATAACTCACAAACCGTTGCTTAGAGTATTCCACATTTAGATGTTTTAACATAGTATATAGGGGCCGTGGTATATGGTATGCGACATTTATTCAAATAATTGCTGCTTGATAATCGAATTTGATGGTTTTTTTCGAAATAATTTCAACATCGTTTACTATAAAGCATCTAATTAATCAAGTTAACATTTGTTATACTTATTTAGTGGGATGATTGTCAATCGTTTACGTTTGTTATGTGCAACATGTTTGCCATCTTTGCATGTCATTTCAGATGATTATTGGTCTAGCAGGTGTGTATGTCTATATAATATCCTTGCTTTCTTTTATTTTATATCAGTTCAATAATCTTATCCAGGATATATTTGAAAACAAATAGGGTTTGACATATTAGAAGAACATTGATTGTCAACAGGGGTTACTTTTTTGTAGGACATCAGTAGTTTAAATTGTTAACCTGCCAGGGAAGTAAACAAATTGAAGGATACAAAAGTATTCTTTTAATTTAAATTACATAAAAACAACTTCATCAATATTTACGCAAAAATTTCATTCTTTCCCCCTTATAACAACACTGAACAATTAATATGTATATTACTTCACTCCTTTGCTAATTTGTACACAGATAACGTTTCAACATCTACTACAGAATATTCACCTACACATGCTAAAGCGGTTTTGGGATCTTCTTGAACTTTAAGCGAAGAGTATGCTTTTGCCCCGTTTGACACTATCTCTAAGACTATACGGACTTCATTAGCAGGATGCGCTCCTGATAGAAAAATGATGAGAGTTATGAGGATGAGCAACTAAAATCGAAACTATATAAATTTTAAGGTCACCATTACTAATTTATTGACTGATACGATAGTCTGTGCCTCAACTCATTAATGACATGCTATCGAAGTCTTACTTCTTTAAATGTCGGAATATTTGTCTACTCTGTTGTTATCGGTTGTCTCCTATTCCCGATTTTAATTTTTTGACTGAGTTTGGATTCGCATGGCGGGTGGTGCGTGGATGGCAATAGACTGGCGATGAACCCGATCTCGCTTCTGTTGAATTTCATGCGATTCCCTCAGTTTTGTGTTTGTTACCTTGATTTATGAGGTTTGCCTTAACCTGAAACAGTTCATTAGGGAAGGAGGAAATCAATAATAGTGTTTTTCCATCGATTTAGCTTATGTCAACTGCGTTAAAGGATTTTCAGTTATGAATTTATATGTCATATCGCCAATCTGGTACCGCAATATAACACTATGGAAAATGTGCTGTTGCTACTTCTTGGATCTGGCCACATACGGTCTCCAAAAAGTGTTGTTGCAAGGGTTCTTTGACGGGCAGATAATGTAGCGCTTTTCCAACATGAAAATTAAATTTAACGTCTCCGCTCCGACCGGTCGTGGCCATATTTCAATACACCACTGTTGGAATTATTTTGATATAAATATTCTACTCCAGATGAAAGAAGAGAATAAAACGACAGTATTTTTAAGGGGGCAAATACATTTCATAATTCTATTTTACCCCTTTATCCTAACTGGAAAAATTCATTAAAATTCCTTAAATCAAATCCGGTAGCATATAAACAAATATAAAATACTTTTTAGTTAACGACGGCACCGTTTTGTAAAAGTCTTACAAAGCTTATAAGTTAACCAAATGCATACAATATCCTTCTTTTTTTAATGAATACTGAATCATGTTTATTCATGATGTAAAGTTTTTTATCATTGTTATTTTAATGTTAGTATATGTATACATGTTTCTCAAATAGAGCCTCATTGTAACTGATTTCTTATTTATGGTGTTGCAGTCTTGATATAATGAGACAGATAAAATCTTTTTCATCTTGCAAAACTGAACTAATACGTAACCAGATTTTTTCTTGAAACTATATCTACATAACAATTCGTGTCTCTGGTCTTTTACAAATTTCATATTCTCGACTAACTTTTGGCAGAATTGAATAAACTGTCTTCCTTTGTGATTTCAGTTTAGTTTTAGATACTGTTCGTCTTTTATTACCATGGCGTTTTCTTTCTTTTTTCTAATTTAAGATTTTGGTTTCCACATAGTTGGTATTATCCTACTTTTTTCCTACCAAATGTGTCAATATATAATTAATGTATCTTATACTTCCCAAATACTATTTAAATCAACATAAAATCTTTTATGATATTAGCTTTCTATTTGCTACAGTTAAAAGGAATTATTTTTCCAAAATCACAATGACTTTTTATGAGAGCTTATTTCAGAAAAGCATAATGGGAATTCCAAAATATTTAGTTTTTTCGTCCCAAACGAACCATGCTGTCACAGTTGGTTTTGTATTAATAATTTCCATCATTTTCTTTTTTAGTTCACATTGATACGAGGTTGTCGTTGCATTTTTTTTTGTATTTATCATGCATGTTTGTACTTGTAGAACTTTAAAATATTTCCTTCGTGATCTTCACTTTTGCTTCAATTACTTGTTTAATGGGTGGTGTACATATTATAAATACTAAATGGATGGAGTCTTTCAAACGATAAGTTATTTTAAATTTAACATCTTAATTCCAATTAATCATGAGTATACTCTAATTCTTTTTATAAAAATTAGTTAGTTCTGTCAACTTTTTTTTTTTTAAATATTTCTGCAAAATGAAGGCTATTTATGAAAGTGGTGTTTTTTAGAAAGCATAATTGTAAACAAACTTGATTGAAATTTTAGAAAAATGGTGTAGATGTTCATTTGTTAACATCAAATGAAACATTACATAAATAATAGCGGAGCTTTTATACAACGATGAGATAAGACCACGGTACATATATATATAAACCCAAAGACAGCTTCTTCTTTTTATGAACTAGCAAAGGATTCTTATAGAGGGTCTGCTATTGGATAAAGACACTGTATACAACTAAATGCATGACAAAAAACTTCTGATTTCGTACATTCATAAAATCACGAGTTGGGTGACCGTCATGGAATATCTGTTTTACAAACGACGACGACCAATTGCCTTTATCTTTTACTTACCGAATAAAACTTATGACCGGGTTTTTAATTACACGAGCACCACAACAGATGCTACGTGTGGAACAGGAACTGTTTACCCTTCCGGAACACTATAGATTCCCTCCAATTTCTTGGTGGAGTTCGTGTTGTTCATCCTTTAGTTTTTCCATGTTGTGTTTTGTATACTGTTGTTTGTCTTTTGATCGTTTTCGTATTTTGCCATGGCCTTTTTTCGACTTATGAGTTTGAATATCCCTTTGGTATCTTTTGCCTCTCTTCTAAAATAGAAATAGAAATTCTACATTTTAAGCTAAATTTGAATGTTAATGTGGCAAACACTATATTTTAAGTACCACAAATGATTAAATTTAGTTCTATTTATGATTATTTCCTCTACAATTTACTTGTTTAATTTGTTAATAGAAACATTTTTTTTCTAAATTTTCCTAGCTGTACACATCCATTTTACAAACGACTACAATTATCAGGAAAAAAAAACATAGCTGCCTATTGTTATCCCAACACAACGTTATATGCATTCTTTACAAAAGAGAGTCGAAAGATATCAGAGGTACATTCAAAATCGTAATTCGAAAATAAACTGACAACGCCAAGACAAACAACAGAACACAAAACATAACATCGAAAACTAAAGATTGAGCAACACGAACCCCACCAAAAACTTGGGGTACTCTCATGTGCTCCGGAAGAGTTAGCAGATCCTGCTTCACATGTGGCACCCGACGTGTTGCTAATGTAAATACAAAGCCGGGGAAAATCTAATTCAGTAGGGCCATCAGGGGGAAAGAGGACAGGATTGTGGTTACGACAATTGGTCGTCGTCATAACAGTTATCGAAATGAAGTAAACAGTAGAAACATTACTACTAGTATACGGTAGTTTAAATTTCAGTAATTCACTCTCTAATATACACAATATGCTTTTAGTATTTGCACCACTCTTGGTCCTACAATTTAGTAAAATCATTTTGTTTAGACCTATTGAAAAAGACAGGCGAGAGATACCAAAGGGACAGACAAACAACAGTGCACAACACATCATCAAAATCTAGGGGTGTTCTCTGGATGGGTAAGCAGCTCCTGTTCCGAACTCTTGGTTTAATAGCTTCCTTGTGAGCAGCAACAATAGGATCTGTTAGATAAATGTTGCATTAGTTTTCCTACAACACACACGCAAGTACCACTTTATTACCATTTTACGTCTTAAGAAAATGTCATAATGCACAACAAAACAAGAATTATTTGTATATAGATATAACAATACATCTGCTGAAATATATATGTTTGAATTTATTCTTGACTTCCTTTACTTTGATACATCATACTACTACTAGTAATAGCATTTTTTCATCCAAAGTAGCGCTCAAGTAACCCCTAGTCAGTGCCTTATTTTCCCTTTTTCTTTTGCAGTGACATATGGAATGCACATACATCAGACTATGGTACGATGAAATTACGTTTTCTATATATGACAATTAAGTATATTGAATTAGCTCGAGGCATAAACAAAGAAACGGTTTGTTAAGGTCTTATAAAACACTCATTCATATTTCATTTAAATATTTGTAAACAAATCTATCAGTCATCAAGTATATCACTATTACAATAAATCACACTTACAGTAAAGGTATATAACATTTTATTTTTTAAACCTAATATGTTTGACTAACACTTCATGTTTATCAGACTTTTTATCAGTAAGATTTCAACTGTAAGAAACTGATTTGGTTATTATCTTGTCTATAATTAGAATGGCAAGAACTTGTTATAAAAAAAAAGTAAAATCACAAAAATACTGAACTCCGAGGAAAATTCAAATCGGAAAGTCCCTAATCAAATGGCAAAATCAAAAGCTCAAACACATCAAACGAATGGACAACAACTGTCATATTCCTGACTTGGTACAGCCCGACAATATAAAAATAAGGAGATATGGTATAATTGAAAATGACACACCTATCCATCCAAGTTCAAATGAAGTGGATGTAAGCAATTATAAGCAACATACGGCCTTCAACAATGAGAAAAACCCATACCGTATGGTCGGCAAAAAAGGCCCCGACATAAAAAGTATAAAACAATACAATTGAGAAAACTAACGGGCTAATTTATAACAAAACAATTTACGAAAACAAATATCACAGACATGAACCAACGTCAACCAATGAACTAAAGGCTCCTCACTTGGGACAGGCACATAAAGAATGTGGCGAGGTTAAACACGTTTGTGAGTGCTCAACCCTCCTCTTAACCTGGGAACGGGTGTCACAAAAATCAGATGAATGTCTTACTCATCAGATCTATGTGAAGCAGAAAAACAGAAACACAGACCGGACGTGGTAGGTTATTTATACATCCCTAACAACTAAAGACACAAAGTACAGATCTGAGAGTACTCGCATTCACTGACAGCTAGTTCAAAGCCAATTACAACTAATAAAAGAAATCATGTATCTAAGACTAATATATCAATCAGTACACACGTAACATCCAATTGATTTAGTATAAAGACGTCATATTGGTAAAATTTAGTTCTGTTCCTTTTTTTTTCTCTAGAATTTAAATATTAAATTACTAAATATACGGATCTTTTTTTAATTTTCTTAGCTGTTCATTTTCATTACAGAATCATACCCGAATTCAACATATGGACACCTTTACCAAGAATATGGAAACAATAGTGAGAGGTTGGTTAACATTCAAATCAATCATATAACGTTGGCAAAATTTATTTTTGGTTTAATTTACTACATTTTGCCGAGTTATTTTTATAACAATAACAAGAGTGTTCACAGATCAGTGTGGATAGTATGTTTGGATGTTTGACAGTGTTTTCTGACAAAAAGAGTTATTTTTTTCGCATAGGGTTATATGTTAAAATATGTTGCACAGTGACAGCAAACCTGTAACAAACACTAAAAATTAGCAGTGTCGTTTATTTAATATTTAGTTTTAATGCATGATGAGATTTTAATATGTGAGATGGTATCTGAGAACCTGCATGCATGTACTATTTGTATGGTCCTATTTATGTTCCTTTGTGGAGGTCATTTCTTACTTGGGTTTGAACACAAAAACTGTAAATTAGTTAAGGATCTTCTCAGTATCATTAGCAAAATATTTCGTGAAAATGCCGAAATTGTTTCTTAGAAGATATCTAATGGTTTTAAGTAATGACAATACACCAGATATGGCAGATACCAATACAGATGGTCATAACTACTACAAAAGTCAACCGATAAAATTTCTTGTGGATATTAACATCTTCATAATATGTTTTAATTATCAACAAAGTTTCCTGAAATTCTATTGTATGGTTTCAGAGGAGTTGCAATGAAAAGAACAGGACTGATGGACAAACGGACTGACGGGTCAAAAATATTATACTTATTTACTTTGTTGTGTGGGGTATAATAACTTGGTCAATCCAATGAATTTGTTTATGATTCTTAATTTCTAGAAATAAATTATGAAAAATAGTGTAGACGTGAAGAAATATGAACTATGATTTTTTAGTATTTGAAATGAAAAAGGTATTGCAAAATAATTCTTGTTTCAAGATTTTTGTTATATGGATAAAAATATAAGTGCTACCTGTACAGTGAGATGCAGTTTTGTTGTGATATAAAATGAACAGTGCTCTAATTAACATTTACACAAACTAAGAAATTAACGAATGAATGATAAATGTTGAACAATGAAAGATAATTTTAGAAATCGATTAGGCCTTGTGAATTTTTGTCCTTTTCTTTTTTCATAAATAAATATAATGTATAAGTGAATGACCATTTACACCCAGGACTCGTCAGTAGGCAGTTCAGATGTTTAAAAAAGGTGTTTCAAAACCACCTAGCATCATATTGGTAGCAGCACGAGTAGCATTGTTAGGTAAATTTGTGCTTTTTTTTTTAGCTTCTGGACAAAAAATGTTTGGTTCAATGTAAATAAAATGCTGCTTTAATCTCCCATTAACTACTTACATTGAATGGATGTCTCTTCAACAATTACTTGTCACGTGCTGACAGTTTTAATCATCTTATCTTACAGATCATGTGCAAATGTGAGTTGTCTGTCAAATCTTTATTTCACAAAGAATGCATTTGCATAACAATGAACTGAGCTCAAAGCAAACCACTTAACTAATACACTTAGACAAAGAGCTCAATCCAATGATATACTTTGTAATACAGGCTCTTCATGAACATTAGCCCTTCATAACCACATCTGTGATCTAACAAACATGCCAAACTACATGGATCAGAAGTCCCGAAAAAGACGATGTAATTATTTTTATATAATATGTACGTACCCCGGTTAAAACTTCAAACAAAGTTGTGGTAAAAACATTCGGTTCCTAACAAGTAGTTGTCAGTTCATGCACAGATTAAAATATGCTGAGTGCCCCTCAGTGTCTATTGACCGTCACAACTGAATCAATATATATATATATATATATATATATATATATATATATATATATATATATATGTAAGACTCAGATTGACGTCCAGTCTCTAATCGACCTCCATTCCTCAAGTCTGTTTTGTTTTTCTCAAATCAATGTCCCAATAGTATTGGCTTTTCTAACTGATTTCCTTTTTACAGACTAGCCGCAATGATATCACAGTTTTATAAAATGGTAGGTTGATCCCAATACTAAAAAAGTCGTGAAAGATATAATATTTTAAATCTTGCAAATACATGTTTACATTTCAACAATTGGCTGTACTTTTTTATTTTGACTATTGTTTGAGACTTATATTGACCTCCAGATGTCTTTCAATTATCTTTGGCATTGGGTTGTTGTCTTATTGTTGTATTTATCCACGTTGCATTCATTTATATGAATATGAAAGGAATATGCCAACGTAGATCAAGAGGATGAACTTCTTTCACCAAAATATTAATATGCATGTACATGTAAGATGATGTCGATGGTTGTCTTATTGTCATTTTCTGATGTTTGACCTTTTATTTTTAAACTGTAACATGCCGAATATTTAATGTCAATAGACCATGACAAAGGGGGTTGACCAACTAATCTCTATGGATGAGATGTTATAATTCTGATACATGTACAACAATACACCAAATATCATTGACTTACCATTAATGGTTCCCCTCAAACTGAACAAATCAGATTTAGCATATAAACTAAGCCAAATTTTTAAAGTAAGTAGACAATGATTTTTTGGGGCAGGCCCCTTAATATCAATAGAATTAGATATGCAAATGCTCCTCTAACTGCATTATAGTACATACCACAATCATTGACTTCCCATAAGTAGTTCCCGTTAAACTAACCTACATGTAATTATCAATGATTGTCATTTTTTGACCATTGATTTCTCATATATGTAACCCTCTCAGACGTGTTCATTTCGCCCAAAGGTGTCCTTTAAATCACAAATCGTCCAAACATGTCCAATATCACATCCCCAAATGGTCCAATTATTTACCTCGCTAAAATAAGACCTGGCCTACAATTTTTATTCTCCGAGAACTTATGAAAACTTTTAGCTCACATATGTCCTCAGTATTAATGCAATAACGTTTACGACATTCAATGATGGGGGGTGGGGGGATAACACGACTGAAGACGTCGGGTTTCTGTCATTTCTAATAAAAAAAAAATAAAGCCGCTATCCAAGGACATCAGGTGGAAAGGTGTAGTGATCCGTATAGTCCAAAATGTGGTACACTATGCACAGTGAAAGATGAAATCACTGACTTAATTCTGCTCTCAAATAAATAGACACTAGATAAGATATAGAATATCACAATAAAAAATTATCTTCACTTGGAAGCTTTTATTAATTCTTCATCAATATGATTATTATTGTTATAATTTAGATGAAGGTATTTCAGAATTAAAAAATCTTATACATTTTATCTTGCAAGTTTTCACTAGACTAGTGCAAGTTTTCTCTGTGCTTCAACTATTGATTAAGTGGTCATTCATTAGCATTAGTTTGTTCAAAGTCGGTTGTTTATATTTAGCATAATTGGAAATTTAGTTTTTAACACATACATTAACTCTTGACGGTTGATTACTTAATGTCCAGTGGCAAATATTTCATGCATATTTAGAGCAAACATAAAGATTGCAATTAGTTAGTTTTGTACAGTTAAATTCATTGTTTACAAAGTAAATTCTTTTGTACTAATATCCTGCAGTGATGCCTAAATATCTTAATAATGTATCAGGGTATTGCACGGACAGCTTCCTGCAAGAGTGGTTTCTGGGCTTTTAGAGAATTACTGTTCTATTTTTACAACAAAACAAAAGGAAGGTTCCTGTAATAATATCGATTGGATTTATATTTAAAACAACATGTGACAATTTACCAATCACTATATAATAACGGGGGACACGAATAAGCGTTCATTAAAGGGGGACGTTTTGGCTTCATATGGAACGTTTGGGCGTTCATAAAAAGGACACGTTCATTGACGTCTTGACATATGGACACGTTTAGGGGGATGGACATGTTTCTGAGTGTAAATAAATAATACTATTTGGGAGCACTCAATGTGTACTTTAAAAATACATGTAGATTATAAATAATGTGAAGGAAAAGGTAATACAAAAATTATATGTAACCATATATTTTAACCAAAATATCTTCACTACATGTTTTTTTTCTAATATTTAACAGATTTGTTAAGATCATATTTTTAAAGTATTGCTTCATGCAGACTTATAGCTATATACGGATGATGATGTTGTAATGACAAAGTTGCAGGGACGTATTAGGGTTCAATTGGCTATTCCAGAAATAATTGACCTCCCCCCCTCCCCCCTTATGGAAGATGCTGGAATTCCAGACAATTTTTTTTATTCTCCAACCCTATGGAAGATGCTGGATTTCCATTTTTTTTGAGTTTTGAGACAAAAATTTGGTTAGACAAATAGGTGGAAATTCAGTAATTTTTGCAAAATCTGCAAAAATTTGAAATAGTATGGAAAGTTTCGACACCTGTTCGTTTGTTTACAAATAATAATGTAACGTGAATATTCAATGATGTCAGATTCATTATTCTAGAACCCCGCCATCTCTATGTGTGCATACAAAATTCCTTATTATTAGCCATTTATTTATCTTGTATCATCTTGAACAACTTGAACAACTTCAACAAAAAAAATGACATGCAAAAGATATGTTTATGATTACACGTTAAATACAAAGATATTACAAATACAGATAATTCAGAAATTATGTTGGTCAGATACATCAAAGAATGAAAATGTCAGTGACCCAAATCGTCAGGGTTCACTTTTTTTGTCCATTGTTCAATTTCTAAGAAATGGGATCGTTACTTACCGCTCTCGAAAGTAGACAGAACCCAAATACATAACAATTTAATTATAAATAATGCTCACCGAAATTACTGAAAACAAAAAGATTACATTCTCAATTGAAGTCTAAGAAGATCATCATTGACATGCCTAATTCATGGGAAAAAAATTTATGGCGCGATAGTTCTTTACTCACTATCGATTTATATAACAAGTTTGTTTAGAATTTTATTAAACAATATTTCAGTGTTAAAAAATATAAACATACATAAGCATGGGATACGTTTTATATATATCTTTGTCAAGATTAATAATATATTACCTTACCAGTGTACTTCACTTAGGAATTAAATTTGAGCGGAGGAAATTTATTAATAGTATTTTTTGTGACTCTTTGGGATCGTCACAGTAGTTCAACCAATCAGCGGAATTTTAAAATCTATCTTTTGAAGCAGATTTTGCATATTTTCGCATACTAAAATGGAAATTATAGAAAAATAGAACGCTTTTAGAAGATATAAACTAGGGAATAATGAACTCTTTTAGCAAAAGAAGGATTGGATCAGGGTTCTGTGTATTCACATGATTTGTATTTCTTTCCCTACTCTTGAATTTTGTGGTGGAATTTTCCGACCCAAAATGTTCACCACAACATTTATTTTTATATATAGTATAGTAAACAGTCACATTACGATATCTGTCATGGCTTTGTCTGCAACCATTTTGGCATTCTAAGAATAAACAACGAATTGAATTTCTATTTGAACACACATATTATTTTGATCATATCTTACTGAATCAAAAATAAAAGGCTACTTTACAGGCCATTCATTAAAATTTATAAATATTAAGGGCTTGTTCTTTTTCCGCAGACCAGCGGCCTCTGTAGAGTTATCTTGTGTGATGAAAACTTATCCAAAGATACCAGATTTATAATTGTGTACGCCAGACGCGCGTTTCATCTACACAAGACTCGCGCGAGTTAAAATAGTTTTAAGACCAAAACAAATATGATGTTAAAGAGCACTGAGGACCCAAATTTCCAAATAGTTTTGTCAAATATTGACGAGGTAATATATAAAAACTAATATCTTAGATTTATGATTTCTTCTTATTTTTTTAAAGAAACTTAAGTAACAATGAAAATTATACAAACAAAACTTAAGGTAAGATGCAAAGTCATAGAAATGTTTATTATGACATTGGGACCTTGAATAGGAATATCAGTTCAGTAGAAATTCAAAATCTGCGTCTAACATCTGTATAAAGAAACTAAAAGCATAAACGATGGGTTAAGTTCACAGAATGGCCTTTCCAATAACATTAGCGTCAACGAAAAAAGGATAGTTGAAAACGAATGACTTTATTTCGTTCTTCGAATATCCAAATTTACTAGCAAAGGATGAGTTATATTTCCCAGAAGATATAAAGGCAAATATCGACACCTTTTCATGGTAAAATCTTCTACAATAGGCAACTGTCCATTCTATAAGATATAAAAATAAGAAGTTGTGGTATGATTGGCAATGAGACAACTATCCACCAAAGTTCAAATGAAGTGGATGTAAGCAATTATAGGCAACCGTACGGCCTTCAACAACGAGAAAAACCCATACCGTATGGTCGGCTATAAAAGGCCCCGACATGAAAAAATATGAAATAATTCAACTGAGAAAACTAACGGCCTAATTTATAACAAAACAGTTTACGAAAAACAAATATGACAGACATGAACCAACGACAACCACTGAACTACAGGCTCCTGACTTGGAACAGGTACATAAAGAATGTGACGAGGTTAAACATGTTTGTGAGCGCTCAATCCTCCCCCTAACCTGGGACAGTAGTGTTACAGCACAACATAAGAACAAACTATAAAAATCAGTTGAAAAAGGCCTAACTCATCAGATGGATACAAATAGAAATACATCTAACAAAAACACATAGTGGACGTGGACGGGTACTTATACATCCCAAAAACAAAAAGCCACTAAGTACAGATCTGAGAGTACTCGCAGTTACTGACAGCTAGTTCAAAGCCAATACCAACTAATGAAAAAAATCATGTATCTAAGACTAGAATATCAATCAGTACACATCCAACATCCAATCGATTTAGTGTAAAGACGTCTTTAACAGTCAGAGAAAAAACATGACCTTGTCTTTATAAAATCCGAAAAGCTTGAAAACTATTACAGCAAGTACCAACTATATTTATTTTATCTGTGTACATCTTCAATAATGGCCACTTTTCAACATTGTAGACACAAATCTCTTGTTTTCTTATGTTGTATTGTAATCTTTAGTCCTGTTTATTTTCTCTCTATCTGCTTGTTTTTGCCAAAAACACAAAAGGAGTCAAGATCATCATTCAAGGGAGGAAACTCCTATAAAAAGTGGACTGACAATTTTGGCTTTGTTGACCTATTTGTTGATCGTGTCTTGTTAATATTTTTACTGTTTACACCTCCTCTATATCTTCTATATTTTTGCCAAAAAACGCAAGAAGCTCTAAAAAATCATTATTTAAAGGACTTTACTCCAAAAAGGAGTGAACTGACTATTTCGGTTATGATGACCTATTTGCAGATCTTGTCTTACTGATAGTTCTTGCTTTGAGTATTTATATTTATCTATTATAGTTTTCAAGATACTAGTATTAGTCAAAAACACAATGATGGTAAAAATTGTATTGAAGAACAATAACTCCTGTAAGAAGTCGTCTGATGATTTTGGACATGTCTGGCTGATAATTTTTGTAATAAAAGTTTCTTTCTATCTAATTTGGTTTTCAAGATAATAGGCAAAAATGAAAAGAAATGGTAAAATTATTCAGTTTATTTCAATAAATCCTATAAGAAGTCGTATAATAATTTTGCTGCAAACAGACAGAAGATAGATCACAACATTCTGAACATTTTTTATTCGTCAAATTTTCTCTATCAATAGCGATTTCCAAGCTAATAGACAAAATTGCATTTTACATCGATGTTCTATTTTAAGACATGTCAGCCATGTTGGTTGTCAAGCGGTATTATTGGACACATTTTGTACACTAGATAACCCCATGATGATTGTGGCCAAGTTTTATTATAATTTGCCCGGTAGTTTCAGGGGAGAAGATTTTTGAAAAAGTTAACGGACGATTTACCAAATGATGAGAAAAACTAACTTAACCCTTTGGGTCAGTTCAGCTAAAAACTATCAGCAAATTAAAATTTCCATATAAGTCAAATAACCGGACAATCAACTCTTTAAAGTAGTTGTCTCTATTTGAATGACAATTTTTCCTATTTTTGCGTATTTGGCAGTTATCTTGAAACTATAACGGATGTTAAAATTTTAGCGTTTTAATCTAGTATAATAGATAAAGAGACATTAACAACATATGGGATTTGAACCTCGGTTAACTGCTGTTGCCTAATGTATAACCTTTAATCAAATGCAAGTTTTCATCTGAACGCTTCTGTTTCATGAGCAACTAATATAGTGTTATCAGAACTTGATTATGTTATTTGTTTTTAAAGAGAGGCGAAAGATTCCAAGGGACATTCAAACTCATAAGTCGTAAATAAACTGACAGCGTCATGGCAAAAAAAGAACAAGACCAAAAGACAAACAACAGTATATGAGCTAGTATCTTATCACTAAAACGTAATCATGTTACGGTGATATTGCACTAGAAGCAACCAAATATTGTATTTTTGTCCTCGCGCAACGCGTTGCGGGTGACATAAAAATACTGGGCGTCCGTCCAGTCTTGTTAGTGTTCTCACATGTACAATTCTTGCCAGATTTTTATAAAACTTAAATCATAGGTTTATATCAGCAATGTCTCGGCCGAGTTCGAAAATCAGTGCCGATGAATTATTTTTAAAAGGGTTATGCCCCTTTGGAACATTAATTATTTGGAAAATTGCATCGTTAGCGCTCTCGTGTGTACAATTCTTACCTGATTTTTATGAAACTTATATTGTAGGTTTATATCAGCGATGTCTCGGATTAGTTCTAAAATCAGTGCCGATCAATTATTTTTAATCAGTTATGCCCCTAGGAAATATTAGATATATCAGAAATTGCTCTCAAGTCTTCAACTCTCTAAGATGATTTAAAAAAGTTTTAAAAAACAAAAACAACGATATTTTTTCGTTATTGGCCTTGAACAGGTACAATATGTGCAACGCGGGGAACATTTGTACTCATGTGTACTATTCTTAACAAATTTTTATGAAACTTATATCATAGGTTTCTAATTTCAATGTCTCGGACAAGTGTGGAAATCAGTGCCGATCAATTAACTTTAAAAGAGTTATGCCCCTTAGAAATATTATTTATATGGAAATTTGCATTGTAAGCGCTCTCACATGAACAATTTTTGCCAGATTTTTATCAAATTCATATCAAAGGTTAATATCAGGAATGGCACGGACAATTTCGAAAATAATTGCCGATCAAATATTTTTAATCAGTTATGCCCTTAGAAATATTAGATATATCAGAAATTGTTTTCAAGTCTTCAACTCTCTAAGATGATTTTAAAAAGTTTTAAAAAACAAGAACAAAGATATTTTTCGTTATAGACCTTGGACAGATACACTATGTGCAACGCGGGGAACATTTGAACTCTGTTCTTTTCTTTCGATTGTTTTGCCATACAATGAAAGGGATATTGCACGAAAATTGTTGCATTTTATCATTCGATAAGCTCATTAAATATTAAACAATTAACTGGACACAATATGCATTACTGATTGTGTAATAATCCTTCAATATTATTCACTCGTATATATATTTTGATATTTTTTATAGTATATGAGAGATCATTTAAATTCGTATCTTATCATTTGTTTTAATGATTGTTTAGCTTGATTATTTTATATTATAGAAGACCAACGTTTGGAAATTTGTATCAGTCGAACCAAGATACAGATGCAGATCCAGAACATGGTAAGATGAATAATAGTCGGTGATGTTGTTAATCGAGCCCGAAAATTTAGAAACGATCCGGGTAGACTTATAAATCCTTTAAATAAACTTATTCTAAAAGGTTACCTATTCAACACTGTAATCAAATCTTTAAATAGTGTTTTTATTGGTATAAATATTGATTTTGTGATCAGTAAATTAAAACCATACTAAATATTACACATATGTACTTTCATGGTACTACAATCTGTCGATATCTATATTTTGGAATTTCACAAGGGCATGTTTTTCTCTGACTGTTTACGACGTCTTTACACTAAGTCCATAGGATGTTGGATGTGTACTGATTGATATTTTAGTCTTAGATACATGATTTTTTTTATAAGTTGTTATTGGTTTTGAACTAGCTGGCAGTAACTGCGAGTACTCTCAGATCTGTACTTAGTGTCTTTTTTGTTGTTAGGGATGATGCATGGATATATACCCTGCCACGTCCTGTCTGTGTTTTTGTTTGATGTTTTTCTTTGTATCGATCTGATGAGTTAAGTTTTTTCAACTGATTTTTATAGTTTGTTCTTATGTTGTGCTGTTACACCACTGTCCCAGGTTAGGGTAGGGTTGAGCCCTCACAAACACGTTTTACCCTTCCACATTCTGTATGTGCCTGTCTCAAGTCAGGAGCCTGTAGTTCAGTGGTTGTCGTTGGTTGACGTCCTTCATATTTGTTTTTCGTAAATTGTTTTGTTATAAATTAGGCCGTTAGTTTTCTCAATTGAATTGTTTCATATTTTTCATGTCGAGGCCTTTTATAGCCGACTATACGGTATTGGTTTTTCTCATTGTTGAAGGCTGTACGGTTGCCTTTAATTGCTTGCATCCACATTGTTTGAAATTTGGTGGATAGTTGTCTCGTTGGCAGTCATACCATATCTCTTTATTTTTATATGTGTAAACAACATTTTTACACTGATAAAATACAGTGAATTAATCCAATGACATAATATCTCATAACATTGTTTGTTATTTTTTCGTTTTAACATGGATTTTTCCATTGTTTTGTCAAATAGACCCAATAACATCAACAATTAATTTCAATTTCAATTCAAATGATACAAAATTAAGAAATTATACGAAAATCATCGGATTCACAAACATAAAAGTACTCATTGATTTATTATCTTTTTAATTACTTAAACCATTTATATATTTTACATATGTATATATATATATATTTTTTAGAAGACAGTCAAATATGGTAAGTTGATTCGTCTTTGCTTTTAACACGTAATTGTAAAGACAAATGGGCGAGATGAAAAATATAGCAAAATTTTTTCTTGTATTGTATAAAGTACATAGGCGATTAAACAAAATTTCTTGACCAGGTATATCGGTCAGACCATACAAAATGATGTAAGTTCAGATCAAGAAAATACAGTATTTCTTAAAGGATAAGTGAACCCATCAATCGAAATATTTGTAAAAAAACATTAAACGTTTATAAGGATGGTCGAAATTACATCTGAATAGGTTCCAATTACAAAACTACAATTTTAAGTTTGATAAGAGATGTTTACCTGTCTGACTTACCCACTTATAGGCCTTGTTTCATTGATGAGTTTTTACAACCACTGGATCGATACCACTTCAGGTGGACGTTCTATCTCCAAGAGTATTATCACCTATCAGCCCACTTGTTAACACTAATGTGTTGACATGAAATATCCTTCATCGTTAATTGTCTGTAAATTTATTGCTTATAAAATGTTGAATTATTCGAAACGCTGGTGTTTTTTTTTCTACTTCCAGACATAGATAGCCTTATTCATGTTTGGCACAACTTTTCGAACTTTTTTTTTTCACTATCAAATATTTAAAGCTTTATTACTTAATATCGATTTTGCTTGAAATTGCACCTTTTTATCATTGGTGGTACAGATATGCTTATCATAATAGAGTTACCATTATACTGACGGACTATACAATAAAACAAAATATACTTCATATATAGATAAGAACTAGAGGGTGACAGTAAGTTTACCGATGTTCAAAATTCGCAAATCTAACTAAAATATCAAACCATGAAGGAAAACATTTAGGGAAATGTATGAACTGCAAACACAGTACACGACCGGGTGTATCGATATATGTTATGCTTACAACACCCGCTGTTCGAATCCAGACCCAGTTAAAATATAGACACAATCGATAACTTTACAAATCAGATGACTGAGTGTCTTAGGATATAAGAATGTGTAAACGTACTTTCATGAGTTGAGACACATACAATTCGGTCGTATCGTTGTCAATTGATTCCTGATGATTACTGTAAGGTTTGCGTGCTGTCAGTCACAAATGAAAAAAGTTAATAAAATAACGTATGTGTATAGGCACAGCCCCTCGGCCTAATATTGATAGTAAATGCCTTTCCGTTGACTAACCTTTACTTAACATATACTATCAACTTCACAGTCAATCAAACTGCTTTATTAAACACGTGAAACATTTTCTCTCCTTGCTCAATATTGTTTTGTCCTTTATACGTATAAAAGGAACCGAAGATTCGGTTATATATTTTTCTACAAGCAGGTGTCAGCTCTTCAATCCTGGAGTGAATGCGTTTTAAAACCACCAGTGTTTAGCTCTACTGGCCTTAAGGGTCAGTGGGTTTTTTTTTCTTTTTTTGGCGTCCGAGGTCTATCGTCCGTCGTCGTCAACGTTCATTTACATTTAAGAAAATCTTCTCTTCTCAAACTGCTGGGACAAATTAAACCAAATTAGTTTTAAAATGTGTCCGGTAATTTTGCCGTCCAATCAACATGGATCCAAAGGCTAAAAATATAGCAAAGAGGTAAAATGCAAGAAAATGCAAGTATTATCTACTATTTGGAATATCTTTATAAGTATGACAAGGCAAAAAGTCTCGGAATGGCAAGATCTACATACTGTCTATTCGACCAAATTGTCAGTCGACTCCTTATAGGTGTTTATAAAAATAAGAAGATGTAGTATTATTGCCAATGAAACAACTGTCTACAAGAGACCAAATGACGTAGAAGTTAACAACTATGGGTCACCTTACGGCTTACATAATGAGAAAAACCAATACCACATAGCTAGCCGATAAAGGTCCAAAACCCTCCCTCTAACCTGGGACAGTGTTGCTACAGTACGACATAAGAACAAACGATAAAATCAGCACTTAACTCATCAGATTGATACAAAGCACATATAATCATAAAAAAACAATTTCAGAGGGGCGGGCGGGGATGAAAATCTATCGATTAATTATATTTTGCCTAAGAACTAACTATAAAAATTAGTTGAAAAGGGCTTAACTCATCAGATCAATACAAAGTAGAAAAAACAATTAACAAAAACACAGACCGGACGTGGCAGGGAATTTATACATCCCTCACAACAAAAAAGACATAAAGCACAGATCTGATAGTACTCACAGTTACTGAAAGCTAGTTCAAAGCCAATAACAACTAATAAAAAAATCATGTTTCTAAGATTAAAATATCAATTAGTATACATCCAATATCCAATGGATTGAGTAAAGACGTCATAAAAAGTCAGAGAAAAACATTACCTTGTGCAATGCCAACATATAGGTATCGACAGATTGTAGTACCGTGATTGTGCATATGTACAACAATAATACTTAGTATGGTTTTAATTTACTGATAACAAAATCAATATTTATACCGATAACAACAATATTCAAAGATCTAATTACAGTATTAAACTGGTAACCTTTTAGAATAAGTTTATTTAATATTATTGGTAGGTTAACCCAGTTCGTATCTAAATTTACCGGCTCGGTAAACAACTTTGCTGTAAAAATTAGGGTGTGCCATCTCGTTAGGAACAGCCAAACTTCCAAACCAAATGTTGCCCTTTGATGACTTTTTTTATATAAAATAAAAATGTTTGCCTATTATCTTGCAAACTATGATAGTCAGAGAGAAACTATAAGAAAATTAGCCCAACATGAAAAGATCTATTGGTCTTCAATGCTCTTCAACTTCGTACTTAATTTGGCCTTTTGAACTTTTTTTGATTCGAGCGTCACTGATGGGTCTTTTGTAGACGAAACGCGCGTCTGGCGCAAATACAAAATTTCAATCCTGGTATCTATGATGAGTTTATTTACAACCACTGGGTCGATGCCACTGCTGGTGGTGTAATACCACCAAATCATAGTACGTCACATCCGGTTGCATACGAAAATAGGTCGAAAAAAAATATTCCCTTGAATTTGACAGTTGTAGGTAATTGATCCTACATTTCATTGCAGTAAAACATTTCTGAGTCATAAACATATATCTTGGGTATTTCAAAGCACCATTATTTCTTTATTTGGGGTTTCTATAGAATATTTTGGAAACTTGAGGTTACATGGTTACTAAAGCTTGTACACAGGTTAAAAAAGGGGGAAAATTTGATTGGTTAACTTCCAGTGATGGTTATTTTCTTATATGCAATGAAATGTTATGTGAAATTTTTTCTATAGTACTGGACAGGATAAATCTTTACTCATGCCAAGTATTTCTTTATTTGAAACAAAGACACATTCTGCACAATTTTTTGAAAAGTGCAAATTTAACAAAGACTAATAGGGGAAAATCAATGGTGGTATTACACCTAATATGGGAAGCTGTACATGCACCTTTGACCTTGTGAATACTCTCATGTGTTAAAATTTCTTGCTATTTAAGTGAAATATTACAAATAATGAAATATTCTGAGTGGATTGAGTCTCCAAAATACATTTTATGAGAAAATTTCCTTGAAATAGGACTTTACCATGAATATTAGTTGACAGAACAAGCCATACTTAGAGTTTTGGGGAGCTTTTTCTCCTTATTTCTTATATTCTGCTATACTAGAAAAATTTTCCTAAGAAATACTTTAATAAATATATAGTTTTAAGTAAATGAAATTATTTTTAAAGCAGTAACAACAAATTATTTACCAAAAGAGAAGTTTTTTGTGTCCCTCTCTGGAACGCGGCGTAAATTTAAGTTTTACGTAAGGACTTATTGAAAACTCCTTGGAGACAGTAAACTTTTATACGGATAGTTCATTCAGCTTGAATACTTCAATTAATCATTTATAATAACATTTCTATCATAAATGAGTGAAAGTTACCCCAAAATTTTTATTTATTGGCCTAAAAAGTAGAAATTTTGAGGAAATGAGAGGTATAAATGGACCAAAAGAGACCTTATAAGGAAGACAAAGAGGTCCATTAGTAGTATTTATCATCCTAAAGTCATCTTTTGTATCATATTCAACTGTTTGTAGGCAGATGAGATAAATATTTGATCATTTATTGGTCCACACTATATTCTATCATGATGCGGCTTGGTTTGGATTTTTCGAAGAAATTTTGCTCGAATCGCTGTAGATGTCGTCTTACATTATACTAGATTTTTCTCAAACTATTGAACCGATTATGACAAAACTTGACAGGAATGCTTGAAATAACCAGTATTACAAAGGAAAAAAGTCACATTCAGTTTATTTAACAAAAAAGTCTTCTTTAGGTGTAATACCACCAAATCATAGTACGTCACATCCGGTTGCATACGAAAATAGGTCGAAAAAAAATATTCCCTTGAATTTGACAGTTGTAGGTAATTGATCCTACATTTCATTGCAGTAAAACATTTCTGAGTCATAAACATATATCTTGGGTATTTCAAAGCACCATTATTTCTTTATTTGGGGTTTCTATAGAATATTTTGGAAACTTGAGGTTACATGGTTACTAAAGCTTGTACACAGGTTAAAAAAGGGGGAAAATTTGATTGGTTAACTTCCAGTGATGGTTATTTTCTTATATGCAATGAAATGTTATGTGAAATTTTTTCTATAGTACTGGACAGGATAAATCTTTACTCATGCCAAGTATTTCTTTATTTGAAACAAAGACACATTCTGCACAATTTTTTGAAAAGTGCAAATTTAACAAAGACTAATAGGGGAAAATCAATGGTGGTATTACACCTAATATGGGAAGCTGTACATGCACCTTTGACCTTGTGAATACTCTCATGTGTTAAAATTTCTTGCTATTTAAGTGAAATATTACAAATAATGAAATATTCTGAGTGGATTGAGTCTCCAAAATACATTTTATGAGAAAATTTCCTTGAAATAGGACTTTACCATGAATATTAGTTGACAGAACAAGCCATACTTAGAGTTTTGGGGAGCTTTTTCTCCTTATTTCTTATATTCTGCTAT